CTACCACTACATAACATCACGTGTGCTGCTACCACTACATAACATCACGTGTGCTGCTACCACTACATAACATCACGTGTGCTGCTACCCTACATAAAAACACGCGTGCTGCACCACTACATAACATCACTTGCTACTACCCACATAACACACGGGGCTGCTACCACTACATAACGTCACGTGTGCTGCTACCACTACATAACATCATGTGTGCTACCACTACATAAAATCACGTGTGCTGCTACCACCACATAACTCACGTGTGCGCTCCCACACATAACATACGTGTGCTGAACCACTAAAAACTCACGCGTCCCTGCACCACTACAAACACACTGTGTGCTACCACCACATAACACAGTGGCTGCTGCCCACATAACATCACGCGTGCTGCTTCCACTAAAAATAACATCCGTGGTGCTACCACTACATTACTCACTGTGTTCCCACTAATAACATCACTGTGCTGCACCACTAAAAAATCACTGTGCGCTACCACACAAAACACACGTGTCTGCTACCACTACATAACACACGTGTGCTACCCTACAAACATAACGTTGCTGCTACCCAACATAACATCACTGTGGTGAAACCCACTACATAACATCACTGTGCGCTACCACACATAACATCATTTGGCTGGCAACCACACGTAACACACTGTGGTGCTACCATACATAACACACGTGTCTCTACCACACTTAACACACTTTGCTGCACCACTACATAACACACGGTGCTGCTCCCACTACAAAACATCACTGTGCTGCACCACTACATAACATCACGTTGCTGCTACCCCTACGTAAATCACGTGGGTCTCCCACTACATAACATCACGTGTGCTGCTACCACTACTTAACATCACTTGTGCTGCTACCACTACATAACTACTGTGTCTACCCCACAAACATCACTGTCTGCTACCATACAAACATCACGGGGGCGCTACCACTCGTAACACACGGTGCGCTACACTAAAAAAAGCACTGTCTGCTACCACTACTAACATCACGTGTGGTGCTACCCTACAAAACGTCAGGGGTGGGCACCCTACATAACATCACGTCTGCGCACCACTAAAAAACATCACGTCTGCTGCTGCGACACATAACTCACGTGTGCTCTACCACTACATAACATCATTTGCGCACCACTAAAACATCACGTGTGCTGCTACCACTACAAAAACATCACGTGTGCTCCCACACATAACATCACGTGTGCGCTTCCACCATAACATCACGTGTGCTACCACTAATAACATCACGAGTCGCACCACTACATAAAAACAGGTGCTGCTACCACTACATACACACGTGTGCTCTACCACTACATAACATCACTGGCTGCTCCCCCACTACTAACATCACGTGTGTGCTACCACACCAACACACGTGTATGCACCACACGTCACACGTGTGCTCACCACTACTAACATCCTTGCTGCACCACACAAACATCACGTGTGCGCTACCACTACAAAAAACCATCACGTGGCTGCTACCACTCATAACATCACGTGTGCTGCTCCCACTACAAAACACACGTGTTCCCAATACAAAACACACGTTTGCTGCTACCACTACATAGCATCACGTGTGCTACACTAAAAAAAACGGGGGCTGCTACCCCCCAAAAAAAATCACGTGTGCTGCTACCACTACAAACATCACGTGTCTGCTCCCACTACAAAAACACGTGTTGCTACCACTACATAACATCACTGTGCTCTACCAAATACAAAAACTCACGTTCTCAACCACTACATAACATCACTTGTGCTGCACCCACAAAACATCACGTTTGCTGCTACCACACAAAACATCACGTGTCTGCTACCACTACATAACATCACGTGTGCTGCTACCACTACATAACATCACGTGTGCTGCTACCACTACATAACATCACGTGTGCTACCACTACATAACATCACGTGTGCTGCTACCACTACATAACATCACGTGTGCTGCTACCACTACATAACATCACGTGTGCTGCTACCACTACAAAATCCTTCTGCCCCACTACATAACATCCGTGTGCTGCTACCACTACAAAAACATCACGTGTGCTACCACCCATAACATCAGGGGTTTGCTGCTCCCAAATACATAACTCACTTTGGGGGCACCACACAAAACATATTGCTGCTACCACCACATAACACACTTGGGGTGCTACCCCCACATAACATCACGTGTGGTGCTACCCCCAAAAATAACTCACGTTGGGGTGCTAACCACTACAAAACATCACGTGTGTGCCCCACTACATAACATCACGTTGGTGCTACCACTAATAACATCACGTGTGGTGCACCACCACATAACATCACTGGGGGTGCTACCAACAAAACATCACGTGTGTACCAAATCATAACACCGTTGCTGCTCCCACCACAAAAACACCGTGTCGCTACCACCACATAACTCATGTGGTGCTAACCACCACATAACGTCCGTGTGGGTACCACTCAAACTAACTGTGCTGCTACCACTACATAACACACGTGGGGTGCTACCACTACAAACACACGTGTGCAAACCACTACATAACATCACTTGCGCTACCACTACATAACATAACTGTGCTCTACCACTACATAACATCACGTGTGCTACCACTACATAACATCACGTGTGCTGCTACCACTACATAACATCACGTGTGCTGCTACCACTACATAACATCACGTGTGCTGCTACCACTACATAACATCACGTGTGCTGCTACCACTACATAACATCCGTGGCTACACCACAAAAACATCACGGTCTTTACCACTACATAACATCACGTGTGCGCTACCACACAAAACATCACGTGTGCTGCTACCACTACAAATATCACGTGTCTCACCACACATAACATCACGTTGCATACCACACATAACATACATGTCTGCTACCATACAAACATCACGTGTGCTCTACCACACAAAAAAATCAGGGTTGCTGCCCCACTACATAAAATCACGTGTCTACACCACTACAAACATCACGTGTCTCAAACCACTAAAACACACTGTGTGCTACCACTACAAAAAATCACGTTGCTCCCCTACCACTCATAACATCACGTTGCACTACCACTACAAAAAATCACTGTGCTACTACCACTACATCATCACTAGCTGCACACACTAACACACTGTGCTGCTACCACTACAACACACGGTGCTGCTACCCCTACATCATCACGTGTGCTCTACCCACTAATAACATCACTGTGCTGCACCACTACTAACATCAGGTGCTGCACCACTACAAACACACTTGCTGCTACCACTACACAACATCACTGTGCTGCTACCATACATAACTCACTGGCTGCTACCACTCCCCAAACATCACGGTGCTGCTACCACAACCTAACATCACGTTCTACACCACTACACAACACACGGTCTCTACCACACTAACACCGGTGCTGCACCACTATAACATCACGTGTGCTGTACCACTACATAACATCACGTGTCTGCCCCTTTTCTTCAATTTGATAATAGCGCAGAAAATTTGAAAGTTTATATTTTTGCATTTTTTTTCTGTTCTTTTTTTTCCTTTAAACACGGGACGGGGTTCTGACCCGGGGAAATTAAAATCTATTCCTTTCCCCCATTCAAATATGAATTTTTCTTTCCCCAAGCCGACCTGAGTTTTGGGGGTTTTTTTTTTCCCAAATGGTAAATTTTTCTGTGTGGACAATGAATGGTTTTGGGCAAGTGCAGGGTAGCTCCGGGAGGCTTACTGCGACGGGGCACTGCTGCATGTGGGGACGGCAAGTGGCACTCGGGGGGCAGTGCGCTGACAGTAGGGGTCCTCAGGCCTCCACCTTCCCCAGCCAGCGCACCTTTCCTGCCACGCCCATGATATCTATTAACAGGTAGTCATGCCTGGTACCACTACTTTTTTTCTGACCTTTAAAAAAGATGAAATAAAAATAATAAAATAATATAATAAAAATAAAATTATAATAATAAAAATAATAATAAAAATAATTATTATTATTTTTATTATATTATTATTATTATTATTATTATTATTTTTATTTTAGTTTGTTGTTATTATGATTACAAAATAATAATAAAATTAAAATAATAATAAAATAATAAAAATATTAATAATAATAAAAATTATTATTGTTATTATTATTGTTTAATTAAGAAAATTATAATAACAGCAATACTCTAAATTAATAATAATAATAATAATAATAATAATAATGTATTATTTTTATTAATTATTAATTATTAAATTTTTTTATTATTTAATCAAATAACACAATACTATAATAAAAAAAATAAAAAAAAAAAATTTATTTTTATTATTATTTTATTATTTTTATTTATATTATTATTTTATTATTATTTATTATTATAAAGTAATCAAAATAACAACAAAAACAACAACAACAACAATAATAAAATAATAATAATAATAATAATAATAATAATAATAATAATAATAATAATAATAATAATAATAATAATTTTGATAATGAATAGTAATAGTAATCACAATAATAATAATCATCCTTTCACAAAATATTACTCTGCTCACACTCTAACAGATCGTCAAGTCCCAAAAATCATTCGTCTCCACTCACTCCTGTGTAACACGCTGTATGCCCTAGACCCTGCACACAAAACCTTCTTTGCCTCCTCCTTCCACCCATTCCTGGGACGACGCCTACCTACTCCATCTTCCCTCCACTATAAATTTATACACCCTCCAAAGTAGCCGGACTTGAGTCCTGGAGGTGGGACGTACATTGCCTGCACTCTAAAGGAGGTGTTTAGAGTTACATGTAAACTATTGTATCTGTGCCCCACTGGCAGTGTGAATGGTGGTGAGTGCTTATTTTTCGTGTCATCCTGCCTCGGTGGGAGACGCCCAGCGTGTTAAAATAATAATAATAATAATAATAATAATAATAATAATAATAATAATAATAATAATAATAATAATAATAATAAATTTGCTGGGTAGGTGTGTTAGGTGTTAGTGGAGGCGTTCGTTGTGACCAGATGGATCCAAGTGGTGTGCAGCTGCTGGAAGCTGCGCGCTGGACTGCTCTCAAGATGACCAACATGAACATCATTCCCGGCCTCACTCTTGGTCAGTTATATAACCTTTATTCAAGTAATCTAAATATAATTTTAATGTATTATATATGCAATAGTTTCCATATGCATTATTCACTGCAGACTGAATTTATTTCGGGCGCTACACTATCTGAGAAAGGTATGGTCATATTGCATTACACAAGTACCCTGTCCCTGACTCACGAAATCGTAATGACACGATTGCAAACAAACCATTCCACGGATGGGGTTTGAACCCGCGGTAATTGAGTCTCAAAACTTCAGACCGTCGCGTTAGCCACTGGCTAACGCGACGGTGGAATGGTTTGTTTACCCTGTACCTCAGTGCAAGCGACTGGAATAGTACAGAGTGGGGCATAAGTATTTAAAATGGAGTTAAAGTTTAGCACTGAAGATCTCAAGTGAATCAAAGGAGCTATTCACAAGTCATCTTTCTGAAATTATTCTCCCAGTTTCTTAAATACAAATGGAAAATTAGGATATACACAGCTCAAATTTAATTCTAGTTTCCCATTAAGAAACGCCATCTTTGAAGCTAAGCTGAAGAGACATTGTTTTGTTATCTCAGAGATATTAATATCTTGATGATAAGAAAATGAAATATGAAAACTGAAAAATCGCGTTTTTAGGGCATCTAAGAATTTAAAGAAGATAAACTTATCTTCTTTAAATTCTTAGATCCCTAAAAACGCGATTTTTCAGTTTTCGTATTTTTTTCATTTATATTATATTCCAAATAATACACATTCTCATGAGGATTTTTTTCATTTTTTTATTTTTTTGCGTATAGGAAAATCGAATATGATAAATTAAAAGAAATGGTAAATTGGAAGCTACACAGCCCAAAATCAATACAAAAATGCTTTCACTTATGATACGCCAGCATATTGTGCGTTGAAGTTTATCAGAAGAGGCGCTGTTGACATATTACACGGGAAACAATTGATTTAATGAAAGTAGTAAACTGAAATTTGGTATAAACCTTGGTAATAAAATACCAGCGAAGTTGGTTTAGAAAGACACGTAAGCAAACACTATGACATAATAGGAAACGTTACGGTCCTGGGACCTTGATCACTTCTAACATACAGAGGTAGAAAGACATTATACATAGGCGGAGAGTGAGGTGTGAGTGACTCATGGTGACCTGAAGAATGTCATGTTGGGATGAGGATGGATAGACGATGAGATCATGTGACTCCTGTGTTGTTTGGTTGGTGGTGCTTAACCTGCTGGAGTATCATGTATGATTATGTTTTAAAAATTAATGACTTTCTACCTCTGTATGTTAGAAGTGATCAAGATCCCAGGACCGTAACGCTTTCTAATAAATATGTCCTAGTATTTGCTTACGTGTCTTTCTAAACCAAATTAAAGTTTACGTAACTTAAAATGAGCGCTAAGATTTCTTTTAATAAAGCCCACTAATAGTGAAAGTTTGAAGCCGATCAGAATGGGCATTCTCCAGTAAATGAAGTGATTCCAGTGATCCTAATTTTTCCAGCAATTTCAGTAAAATATCAAATTTGCTCCAACTGAGACTAAACTCATGGGTTATCATCCTTCTTATACAATATATTATCAGTCTTGAAGTCGATCAAAAAAAAAAAACATTGTGGGAAAAAACACCTATGTACAGTTCAGGTCTTGTATTAGAGGAAACCTGTGGCCACGAGAGGTTTCCTCGAGTCATAATAGAGAGATAACTAAGAACAAATAATAATGGTAGAATTACCGAGAAAATGTTAGGCAAAAGGACTCATATGAAACTAATGTGACATTTTGTTGTGGTAATATTTCGTTCTCCAGGAGCTCCTGGAGAGCGAAACGTTGTCATAACAAAATGTCACATGAATTGCATTTGTGTCCATTTACCTAAGACAACTAAGGACGAGTACATATATGGCTGAAGTCAGGTGGCAACCTGGAAGAGTGTGGTAACAGTAGTAGTATTAGTAGTAGTAGTAGTAATAGTGCTAGTAGTAGTAGTAGTAGTAGTAGTAGTAGTAGTAGTAGTACTAGTAGTAGTAGTAGTACTAGTAGTAGTAGTACTAATAGTAGTAGTACCAGTAGTAGTAGTAGTAGTACTAGTAGTAGTAGTAGTACTAATAGTAGTAGTACTAGTAGTACTAGTAGTAGTAGTAGTAGTAGTAGAAGTAGTACTAGTAGTAGTAGTAGTACTAGTAGTAGTAGTAGTACTAGTAGTAGTAGTAATAGTAGTTGTAGTAGTAGTAGTAGTAGTAGTAGTAGTAGTAGTAGTAGTAGTAGTAGTAGTAGTAGTAGTAGTAGTAGTAGTAGTAGAACAATCATGGTGAGATGGGTTGGATTTGATAACGCAGAGTCATCATGTTACAGCGGTCTCCAGAATGGGTTATATCTTGTTGATCAGCAGTTTGGATTTAGTGTAACTCAGGATTTTTTATGGACAGTATTACTGACAGCATGACTCATGACTCCAGACTGTCGCGTTTTAAGGCTCTTTGACCGTGGGTTCAAACTCCACCCGTGGTATGGTTTGTTTACTGACAGCAATTAGGGCCTCCTCTATACACTTTCCTGGTCGAAAATCTTTCATAATGAATAATCTAGCCTCACCGAACTTCATGAGTTTTTCAACATTGCCTCTGTATTGAACACGGGTTTTTACGGTCATCACGGTTGCAGGCGCTTTTGTGTTCCCGAATCCTAGTATTCAGGGATCTCGCTGTTCCCCCACATAAGTTTTATCACATCCCCCACATACTCCTACTCACTGTTTTAAAGTCTACCGTAACCCAACCAACATGAACAATCTTCGTTCCTTCTCTAACCATGACACCAGAACTAAAAGAGATGTAATTATAGACTTCTTTCTGAGAGTTACAGAATTTCTAGCCAGCAGTTCCTCGAGGAAGATTGCACATACTCACACATTCATTCAGTTCGCTACACTTCCCTTAAACTTCACATGTGATTGTAGGTAACGTGTGACACACATTCTTAATAACATGACAAACACCTATCCAGTTGAAGAAAAGCCTCTCAATTACACAGGTCAGCGACGTTACAACTAACGTCTATAAATATTCCACAGAAAACTTGCCATAAGTAACATTATTTACCAAAAATCCAAAAGTTACACTATATCGAAACTGCTGTTCATCAAGATATTACCCATGATTTTGATACGTCTTCTCAACCCAATCCATGTCACACAATTATACTACTACTACTACTACTACTACTACTACTACTACTACTACTACTACTACTACTACTACTACTTATACTACTACTACTATACTACTACTACTACTACCCTCATGCTGCTCTTCACCTGATTCCTGCTGCTATATATACTCATTATTAGTTATCTCTGTACTAGGACTGAAGAAGACACTCGTGGCGAAATGTTTCCTCTAATAACTGTCCTGAAGTATACGTGTATTTTTTTCATCTTGTCGGCATCACTATACCATTTTTCAAAAGAAGTATCATGAATTAGAGACACTTGTGCACCATTTATGTACCTTTATTGTAGAAACATTTCGCCACACAGTGACTTCCTCAGTCCGATACAGAGAATAATAATTGAAGATCCGTTGTTCTTCAGTTATTCATCTCTGTTTCAGAAAGATACGTGAGGAAACACTAGGATATATTAACTAGAAAACGTTTCAGTCATGGGACCTTGATCACTTCTAACATACAGAGGTTAAAAAGACAGTATATATTTAAATGGAGAGTGAGGTGTGAGACATGGTGACCTGAAGAATGACATAATGTGATGTGGAGAGGTAGACGATGTGATTACATGACTCATGTGTTGTTAGGTAGGTGGTGTTTTACCTGGCTGAATATCATGTATGTTAATGTTGTTGAATATTCTGTATGTTAATGTTGTTGAATATCATGTATGTTAATGTTGTTGAATATCATGTATGTTAATGTTGTTGAATATCATGTATGTTAATGTTGTTGAAAATCATGTATGTTAATGTTGTTGAATATCATGTATGTTAATGTTGTTGTAGTTTCCAGTATTATGTATTATAGTGTCAGTGACGACAATTACCCAGTATTATGTACTATAGTGTCAGTGACGACAATTACCCAGTATTATGTACTATAGTGTCAGTGACGACAATTAACCAGTATTATGTACTATAGTGTCAGTGACGACAATTACCCAGTATTATGTACTATAGTGTCAGTGACGACAATTACCCGGTATTATGTACTATAGTGTCAGTGACGACAATTACCCAGTATTATATACTATAGTGTCAGTGTCGACAATTACCCAGTATTATATACTATAGTGTCAGTGTCGACAATTAACCAGTATTATGTACTATAGTGTCAGTGTCGACAATTAAACCCAGTATTATGTACTATAGTGTCAGTGACGACAATTAACCAGTATTATGTACTATAGTGTCAGTGTCGACAATTAACCAGTATTATGTACTATAGTGTCAGTGTCGACAATTACCAGTATTATATACTATAGTGTCAGTGTCGACAATTACCCAGTATTATATACTATAGTGTCAGTGTCGACAATTAACCAGTATTATGTACTATAGTGTCAGTGTCGACAATTACCCAGTATTATGTACTATAGTGTCAGTGTCGACAATTAACCAGTATTATGTACTATAGTGTCAGTGTCGACAATTAACCAGTATTATGTACTATAGTGTCAGTGTCGACAATTAACCAGTATTATGTACTATAGTGTCAGTGACGACAATTAACCAGTATTATGTACTATAGTGTCAGTGCGACAATTACCAGTATTATGTACTATAGTGTCAGTGACGACAATTAAACCCCGTATTATGTACTATAGTGTCAGTGTCGACAATTAACCAGTATTATGTATTATAGTGTCAGTGACGACAATTAACCAGTATTATGTACTATAGTGTCAGTGACGACAATTACCCAGTATTATGTACTATAGTGTCAGTGACGACAATTAACCAGTATTATGTACTATAGTGTCAGTGTCGACAATTACCCAGTATT